AAAAATAAAAATAAAAATAAAAATAAAAATAAAAATAAAAATAAAAATAAAAATAAAAATAAAAATAAAAATAAATTTTATTTCAAAAACTTTTTTTGTTAATCCTCTATATACAAATTTATGTAAAAATTTTTTTAAGAAACTACAAAAAATACACAGACTACTAAAAAACCAAACTCAGAGCTCTAAGAAAAAAGAAAAAAAACCATTAGAAATACTCAATCTCTTAAGAGACTTAAGTAAGAGAAACAAAAGTGATAAGAATATAGAAAAAATCTGATAAAAGCATTGGTCTTTTTTTGTATTTTACAAATTTTTAAAGAATTAACTTGTAATACAAATTTGTTTTAGTAACATAAAAATCACAACATATAATGAAGAATAAACAAAGAAAACATGTTAATAACCACATGACAAATTCAAACAAAGATGATAAACAACCTTGACAAACAACAACAATGGAAAAACAACAAGTCATGTGAAGCAAACTTTAACAGAATGTTTTGAAAAAATGATCACCATATCAGAAGAATTTGGAGCACAAGTAAAAACACTTGATAAAAATGAAGATATCCTAATAGATCTGATATTAGTAGAATATGCTGGAAAAAAACTTATTACAGAAGAAGAAGCTAAGGCACAAATAGCCCTTCAAAGATGCATTTTGGCAAAAGCTTTCAAATGTAAAAATAGTCAGGACATGAGCACAAATATCGGAAATTGGCATAATCGACTTAACATACGTTTTATCAAGTCGATAAATTTGTAATGATATATAAATATTTTACGGGTCTCTAAATCCCGGCCAATTGCACATCATATTGTCTATCTTTCCATTTATCTTTTCAACAATTAAGCTAAACATATTTTACCACACGTGAAATTAAAATTTTCTTACAAATATTAAACACTAGACACTGAATATATATATATATATATATATATTTTTAAAAAAAAAGCATATCAAAATTTATATTTACTGCATTTATTTCTAATCATCTTCATCAGATGATTCTTCACCAACAAGGTAATAAGAAGGGTATACATTTGTAACTCGATCAAAATACCACCGACCATTATTCAATTGATGAAAATCTGCAGTGATAAGCATTCCAAGCGTAGCACATCGTGCAATATCAGGTTCAAGGTAAACGGTGATTGTTTCTGCATCAGACACTTGAAACGCGCAGACGGACATCTTTTGAAGATATTCATCATTCAATGAAGTCTGTTCATTCATAGTGCATTCCGTAGCATTAGTTTCTATGGTAACGTTTGTGGTCTTATCATTAGTACTGTTCGCAGTGATATCTTCCGTGATCGACGTTTCTTCATTGATCGTTTTATCTGATGTTACTGAATCTGGAACTGGTTCTATATCGATAACTTCAACAAATAATGCTTTTTTTGAAGCTTCTGGCACCTGCTTCAACTCACCCTGAACATTCTGGCCAAAAACCTTTTTAACAGTCAGATCTGCATCGTTTTGTGAAATACCAATCATTTTTGCTACACTTTCTTCTCCAAACCACGCACTTTCAAACATTCCATATAACTCACCACCGAATATCAAAGAACACGCCTTATTAAATTTTCCTGGTGCAAGCTGTGCAAATAATTTGCAGTTCGGAAGTTCGTATTTTGCACGTTCTGCAATCTTCAATGCCTCTTGCATATCAGAAAGATACTCATTACATACTTCATGCTTAATCAGATAATTTAAGAATGACGTGACAACAAGGGGCGCTTCACGAAATTGATCCATTTGTACGTAACCAGATTTATCGATCAAATAACTTGACAAGTAGACACGAATTGTGTATGTAAAATCCACTTCCAGCTCATCATCATTTTCCTCAATAAAATCTGTGGCGCGTCGCGCAGCTATTTCATCTGCATCTGCATCATCGCAGTTAAGTCCGTCTTGACCTAAAAATGATTTCTGGCCAGTATTGATACCACCAAAACGAAGATATGAGCTAAATACTTGGTTGCGGGTCGAACTGAATTTACGGTTCTTTCTGTATTTTTGAACAGCAGTTTCGATACGTTGGGTTATTGAACGTGATCTGTTTGAATATATATAATCCCAATCTTTATTAGTAATTCAGAGATTTGAAAATAATAATAATAAACTTACGGATCATAAAGTTTATCTTCGTCCGCGTCCTTTGGACCACTATCGAAAAATTCCAAATCAGCATCAGCGCACCCAGCTTCCTTCTTTTTCTTTTTTTTCTTCTTCTTTTTCTTAACGTTTATGGTCTTCTGAAGTATTCTACAAAAATCTTTTCTACTATTTCTAATAATATATCCTTTTTCTTTCTTTTTTAATTTT